CCCCAAAACCCCAAAACCCCAAAACCCCAAAACCCCAAGTTTATTCACGAATATTGAAAAACTATATTAAGTATATTTCAGATCTCTGCTTCTTTTTCTTCTCAGGCTCTTGGTATTTTCTCAAGTTCTTCAAAGCACCTTGAATTAAAGCCGAGGAAAGAGCAGTTGAAGATTCCTGATTTTTGGGCTTTTTCCTGCTTTTTCAGGATCTTGTGCTCTTCGATTTTTTGGATCTTCTCTTAGACTTGGATTTTCTATAAACGTAACGGATAGGATTACTTTCTGGATTTAGTCCTTTTGCCAACAATTTTCTTAAAAGTTTTATGAAGCGTCTCAAACTCGTCTCTGAGGCTTCCATTCCTGGACTTTGTCGTAGCTTTAGAAGGAAGAGTTGGCTTATTTCCAAATTTCTCTGTGAAGGAAACAGCAGAAGCAGTCTTGGCCATCTGTTTAGCTCTCTGTGATTTATAAATCGCCTGTTCTCTCTCTGGCCTTATTGGGATGAATGACCTAACAGATTGAACATTTAGCAGAGACTGTGCGAATGATTTTTTCATAATTCTTTCTCTACTTTTGCTACGACTAGTTGATCTATATTTCTCTTTCTGGTAGTTAATCACTCTCTTTCTTTCATAATCTGTGGTGTCGCTGGGGAAGTAATCCGAATCTTGACACGAAATTTTGACACAAGAATCTCCATGATTTTTGGTGTTTTGGAAAGTAACCTCATTCCAAGAACTCTGAATGTTCTCCTTCAACCCTGAACTTCGAAGGTCAGCTCCACTAAAATTGAGTTTAAGTCTTGCAGTGTTGTTGGCAGTGATTCTTCTCTGTTGTAGCATGGAGATGGGCGAGGCCTTGTCATTAACACAAGGAATATTTTCATCCCTTATTGTCCATACACCACTCTTTAAGAGATTATTACTACTTGAAGAGGATTTTAAACGATCTGAGTCTCTTTTATTTAGGTCAACATCCCCAAAGGTTGATGTCTGAAGGCTAACAAATAAGTTAATAAGGCTTACCTCTGCGTCTGAGTTGTGGAAGGCAGTCTACTTCTAGGGCTCCCTTCACTCTGAAGTATACAATCGATGATCTTCTCAGTTTTTACTCTCTTTATTATATTCCTGCTCGTCATTGAAGTCATAGAGTTGGTTGGTTTAGAGTCTTCTTTCGGTAAAATATCTTTTATTTTAATATTTTGTATAGGTGAATCCTCAAGAACAGCCTTATGCTCTGAGGTATCTTTAATCTCCTTGCTTGGCTCAGTAACTTTCTATAAAATTGCATTAGAAGCTTACCTCAGTTTGGGCTTCCTGGCTGATGTAATATTTTCCAGAACTGCCAAGGCTTAAATCAATAGGCTCTCCTTGGTGATTATTTTGGTTCTCCTCATAAAAATGAGCATTAGTCAAACTACTGGAAGCATTATATAGAAAATTTGTTCTAGAATCAGGAGAAATTACATCCTGGGAGGTGTACTTCCCCCTCAGCTGGATTTCTTCTTCATTTCCTTGCGAAATACTCCCTTTAGAGGAAGGGAAAAATTTCTGAGAAGCACTTGAAGTGTTTACAGGAGCTCATGGTGTGATTTGGAACCCACTATGTTCAAAGACATATTCCTCCTTTTGGCCTGAACAAGGTTGGTTGAAGAACAAACATTTAGAGCCTCCTGTCTCTATTGTATAGAGTTCATATTTCTTATTTCAACTTCTCACAATAATTCTCTTCGGACCCTTGAGACTTCACGGGGATATTCTTCTTTACAATCGGATAGATTTGAGTCATCAAAGTTGGCTTTATCTCTATTTGTGTATGATCAAACTCTCTTTTAAGAGGGGGATTTTCATTTTGACCAGCAGTAATATGAAAGCTGAAGCCTACATTGTTTAATTCCTCCTGTAAAGCTTCAAAACTAGGGTTTTCAAAAGCAAGATTGTTAGTTTTGATCAATAGAGCTTTCTTGGGACCCAGTACCTTCTTTCTCAGAGCCAGAGTCGGATTCTCCGTTCTCTAAAGTTGACATCTAGCTCTTACCAATAGAATTAGTTTTTCATGGTGAATACCTTGGACTTGATAAAGGAGAGTCAACTAGAGTCTCCAACCGTGAGCTCATCAACTCTCTTCCGTTATTTTATGCAAATGAATTCCTCATGTCTGACCGATACACCACTAGAAGGGTTACATCAAGCTACAATTTAGAACAAAGGTACCATTCTGGATGGGTATCTCTGTTCTAGGAGTCCCAAAATTACTATACAAAATCGGATGCTTATCAGCTAATTTCTGACTTCGGTCCTCCTTCGATTGCTTTACTTCTACTTCTTTATCATTCTCAGACCGTTGAAAGGTGGATGACTCGACTGTTTCCTGACCTAGAAATAGTAAAGCCCCTAATTCTCAACTGAAAATATTTCAAGACTTACTCAAATCAGCCTGGTGGTATCACGAAAAGAAAGTAAAAGTTTCCTTTATCCCTTTAAAAGCCATTTCAGAATTTATAAATAACGTTTAAAACTAACAATTAACAATAAAGTTGGGGTTTTGGGGTTTTGGGGTTTTGGGGTTTTGGGGTTTTGGGGTTTTGGGG